GAAGCCCAAAATCTCTGTAAATGTTTATGAAAATTAATAAAATATAATTATAGAAAAAAAATAGATTAATGGGATCTTCTAAGAATCAAATCCCTAAACAATCAGCATCTAGCTTTTTCCTCTTGCAACCTCACTTTCAGCCCATCCCACAGTAGCACATCAAGATTAGCCTATCTCTTTTATTGTGTAGAACAGCTCTATCTTATTATCTTATCTAACTCTATTTTACAAGAGTAGAGAATTGCACCATTAAGTTCCAAATTAGGACATGACTAACAGTTTCAGTAGATCTGTAAAAGCAAAGATTGTTGGCTGAGATTAGGAAAAGTGAGAGGTCAGAAAGTCAAAAGAAAGGAAGGTAGAGAGAACAAGCATCTGAACACCAAAGATGAAGCAGACATGAGCAGAAACATATATTCAGGAGTAAGGGGAATCAAGCTTGGAAAGATGAAGGGACAGAAAAAGAAAGGAAGACCTCAACCAGATAGATTGACAAGGTAATGGGCTTGAATGTGTCAGAGATTGTGAGAAAGGCACAGGATAAGATGGGGTTCAGATCTGTTGTTCATAGGGTCACTATCAGTCATATTCAACTCGATGGCACCTAAAAACAAGTAGGCAAAGGGCCTGTAGGTGGCATAAATGGTTTGCACTAGACTACTGACATCTAAAGGCTGGTGGTTTGAACTAACTTGGCAGGGTTGTGGAAGACAGGCTGGACAATCTGCTTCAGCAACAATTACAGTGAAGAAAAACCTATGGAATAGTCTATTCTGTAACACAAGGGGTCAACATGATTCAGAATCATTTACAGGGCATCAGGTTTGGAATTTTAATTAAGATTGTTATTGTTTTGATGTTATGTGCTCTTTCTTGAGTCACTTGCGACTCATAGCGACCCTATGTACAACAGCTCTGAACTCTGCTCTATCCTGAGCCAACCTAATTGTCTCTGACACATCTACTCCCAGTACCTCAGTCACTGAGTCAACCCATCTCACCAAGGGTCTTTCTCTCTTGAGCTCTCCCTCCACCTTCCCAAGCATGATGTCCCTCTCCAAGGACTGGTCACTCCTTGCAACATGCCCAGAGTATGTCAGACGAAGCTTCAGAATCCTTTCTTCCAAGAAGCACCCTGGCTTCACCCTCTCTAGGATGAACCCGTTTGTTCTCCTAGCAGTCTGTGGTATATCCAATACTCTTCTCCAGCACCACTGCTCAAAGGCATCAATTCTCTATCATCCCTAGTCATTGTCTAGCTTTCTGGCACATAGCAAGTAATTGCAAAGACTATGGCCTGAATCAGGTGCACCTTAGTCTCCACATTGACATCATTGCTCTTCAGTACTCTGGAGAGGTCCCTGATAGCACATAGCTGAGGTCCATTCATTTTCTTTTCTCTTACTCAGTCCTTTGAGGCTGCAATTAAATGTAAACATACATTTAAGAACACAGCAGTGTGGACGCTTGGGCCAAAAGCCACCGCATCCATATCTCTGGTATCGTCTGTTGGGCGGGAAGGGACTACCCTTAGGGTACAGCCTCTAGAAGTGGTTTAAAACTATCTCAGCCTCTTCACTGCAAAAAGCAGGGAACTTATCTTCCTATCTCTTGCCGTTTGAGGCGGAAGCGAGATGACTGCACTTGTTCAGTTTCTAATCACCCCACCACCCACCCCATTGGTTACCAAGGAAGCTCCGCGTAGCCAATCCGGACGACTCCAAGTTACGTCATTGATCAAACACGTCCAGGACTGGAGACTCCGCCCCGGCCTAGAGGAGGGATCATATGCCTGAGAACTTGATCCACAGTGCCTAACTCCGCGAGAATAATTTTGATCTACATGAGATCCCGTCTTCGGCCTCCGTGATTAACCCCTCCTATCCCGCCCTTCTTAGCACGGACTCACCATCTGTCGCTCCGCCTCTTCCTGGAGGCCCCGCCCCCGGTGAATCAGCTGATCTCAGGGGCCGGCGGGGCTGCTTGGGTAGCGCCGGAGGCATAGCGCTGAGCTGCGGGTGGAGCGTAAGGTGAGAGGGCGCGGGTTCCGAGTTGACCCTTGGGTTGGGAGGGCTGACCGGCCAGGCTTTCTTGTCTGCAGGAGGTTGATGTCTAATAACTAGCCCGAGGCTCCGGCTGGGGCCGGAGAGCGCGCTGCAGGGGGCCTGTGGAGTCGGCGCCCCTGTCCTCCCTGGCTGGGCGTCTGGTCGGCGGTGTCCACCTGCCGAGAGGCGCCGGGCTCGGACCGCTGGCTCTGGCCCCTGGAGTCTTTAATTCGCCTCCATCCCCTGTCTCTGCAGACGGGACATCATGCGCAGTCTGTGGAATGCCTTTACATCCTCCCTTCCCGCCTCCACCCACGTTGCTTTCTTTCCATTCATTCTTGAGATTTTATTGAATACCCACTTTAGGCGCTGAGCAGATATATACCAGGGTCCCTTGCAATGAATCTTGGTTAGTATCCCTGGCCACTTTTCGGAACGTACAGCTCGCGTTGCAGAGCAGCCCCGGGATTTTGGTGGCTTGAAAAGGCAGTTAGGTAGAAAGAGAATGATTTTGATGTTAAGAATTAGTGTTTTAATCTACTGACTCAGTAGGTGAGCACTTAGCTGCTAACTGAAAAGTCAGCAGTTCGAAATCACCCGCCTCTTGGTGGGAGAACAGATGTGGCAGGCATTTTTCAGCCTTGGAAACCCTGCTGGGTTCTACTTTGTCCAATAGGCTCGCTATTGGTTGGCGTCGTCTCCACCGCAGAGCTTGTCGTTGAGCCCGATCTTTTCGAGTGTGGAGTGTTTTGTCAGAGTGCAGACCAGGTTCTTTGAGACTCCACGGCAGGACCTTAACCGGATGATCTTTATTTAGATGATGTCCTTGACTCTGTTGGTCTTCTGGACAATAGGGCCGCTTTAGAGAAATGGTAGAAGGGCTTAAGATTTTGAGGATAGGAACAGGGGAGAACATTAGTTGAAGTGGCCTCTCGAAGTGCAGATTTAGAAAGTTAACTACAGTGCCCAAGTACATTTGAACTCTGTTTCTCTTAGATTGTTGAATGAGCTCTGATTTAGTCTAGGAAGTTGCCTTTCTCCCCTGCAAAGGAGAATGGCATCCGCCAGCAGCTTTGCAGAACGATGGGCAATCTCTGTGAAACTTTATGAAAGCACACTGCCACCTTTCTCCTGAAGCTGATAAGTTAAAACCGCCAGCCCTACAGTTAGCAGCCAACCAGTGATGCCCTGTGCCACCAGTGCTTCTGAAAAGGATTCTAGTTATCTTTTTAAAATCAATGAGTAATTTCCAGAGGATTTTATGATACCTAGATCTATATAATGTGGGAGAAAGATGGGAAATCTCTTTCTCTGCAATTAACTGGCTCTGAAAACCTGCTGATGGGCCACCTCTTTGGTGGTATACAACAATAACAACATCATACCTGATTACAGAGCTCTGATGGCCTTGTGGTAAGGAATTGTACTGCTAACTCAAAAGAGCTGAAGTTCACATCCACCACCTTCTCCAATGAGAAAGATGGGCAATCCTCTAAAAACTCACTGGAGGGTCAGCTATGAGTCTGTTTTGACTTGGCAGTACATAACAATAACAGATCTGTATTTAGAGAAAATATGGTTTCAAGTTTATCTGTTGTAACTTTTGATATTCTACTCAGGCTTTTTTTTTTTTCCACAAAGTGTGCTTTTTTTAAAAAATGAAATTTTTATTGTATACTGCTTTGTATACCTTGTTTTTCCACACTGGATCTTTCCCATTTCCTTTACCCACCCCTTCTTCTACCCATCAAATTGTGTGACCCTATAATCCCCACCCCCCCCATCATCACTCCTCTGCTCCTACCCTTTCCCTCTTGGATCCTTATACACGTGTTACTAGTTGTGTTTTCTTTTTCTGCAATAATCTACTCAGGCATTTTAATGTGAAAATTATACTGGTGGTTACTATACCTAATTTAAATTTCTTATTCTCAAGCTTTGGTATTGGTAGATTGAAGGGTCGTAGAAAACGAGAAAAAGTCAAAGTTGTTTTAACAGTCTTAAAATTTGATTAAGTGATACAGAAAAGAAACTGCTAAGAGGTAACTTTGGGGGAAATGAACTTTAAATAGGTATTTATTTAAACTGATTTGTACATATGAACTGGAATCCTTTCTCTGGAAATCCTCCTTCTTCAGAATTTTAGTTATTGTTTGAAAGGCTCTCTGGTCATTTTGATTCAGTAAGGAACAAAAAGATAGCCAGTTAGACCTGATTTCAGATTGTTTTGTTAGGTGGAAATCCAATGTTAGACAGTCATTCCAACTCATGGCAACCCTATAAGAAAGCATGGGACTGCCCTTTTGGGTTTGTGGGACTGTGAATCTTAGGATAGGAACATGTTACCTTATCTTTCTCCTTTTTGACCCCAGCTGCTGGATTAAAACTTTCTGATTAGCAGCCCAACACATAACCCATTGTATCACCAGGGTTCCTTTTAGGTGCAAAGAATGTTATTAGTCTTCTGCTTTTTCATTGTGGGGAAAAAGTTTGAAGACTCCTTGAAAAAAATAACAAAACAATAACAACAAAAATGTGTTGTGGGATGAACTGAAACAGTATTTCTAAAGAATATGATTGTTAAAACCTGTAATTCTGTATTAATGTGAATGGAAAAACTGAAGAAGGAAAGTAGAGAGTGGTAATTTTTGAGATGCCGAGAAGGCCTGAGGTCTGTGATCCTCTCTGGTATTATTGTTCACTTCGTAGGCCTACCTGTTGTTTGCTGTAAGTTGATCCTAGAGGATCAGCTTTAGCTACAGACTCGAAGAATGTCTAAGGCCACAGTCTAAGGGATTCCATCAGTCTCTATCAGAAATTGCTGTCCATTCTTCTCCCGCTTTGTCCAGGACCTGTTCTTGTGATCCCAGCCAGAGTTGTCAGCAGTAGTAGTTGGGAACCCATCTACCTTCTGGTCTCAGGCTAGTGAAGGTCCTGACCCTTTAGTTTTTGACCACTTGTCTGGTTTTCTTCATTTTTCTTTAATCTGAACAAGGAGAGACTAATGGTTGTGTTTAAAAACTCCTTGCTGTTGAGTCGGATGAGCCTCATTGCTGACCCTCCAGGGGTTTCTGAGGCAGTAAATTGCACAGGATGCATAACAAGTAATCAGAAATACTATGGCTTGAATCAGACACTCCTTAATCCTCAAACTTACACTACTCTTCAATTATTTGGGAAGCTCCCTAACTGCAGATTTTCCCAGTGCAGTGTGATTCCTTATTTCTTGACTGCTTGTACTAAGGGTGTTAATTGTGGATCCAAGCAAGATGAAGCTGTTGATAGTTTCAGTCTCCTCTCATGGACGGCCAAGAGAATGAATAGATAGGTTTTGGAGAGGATGCAGCCAGAGTGTTCTTTGGAAGCAAGAAAGATGAGGCTTCGCCTCATGGACTTTGGACATATTATTGCTAGGAGGGGCTATTCCTTGGAGAGGGACGGGATGTTGGGTAAGGTGGAGGGTTGGCAAAGGAGAGGAAGACCCTCAATCAGGTGGATTTACATGATGACTGCTGCAGTGGGCTCTTGTGTGTCAGGAAGTGTGAGGATGGTGCAGGACAGAGTGGGGTTTATATCTTTTGTTCATAGGGTCGCTATGAGTCGTACTTGACTCAATGACACCTAACAACAACAAATTGCACAGGAGACTATTGTCCATCTTTATCTCAGAGCTAGGATTCAAATTGCTAGAGGGACAGTGCCTTTGGGTTAGCAGTGCAACTCCCTGTGAACCGTGCCACCAGAGAATAGTTGTTTAATAGATGACTCTTAACACCTTAGTCACTACTCACCAAGTAGGATGTAAAACATTGGTTTTTGTACATGTTACACTAGTTGACTTAACTAACCCTTGTGGCTGGTCCACAATCTCCAAGCCCAGTGATTGATTCATTCTCTCAAGGTGTTTGTTTATGGCTGAGAAGTTCTCAGAACTTTGTCCCTTACAGCACATACATGTGTATGTACTTGTGAGTTTACTTTCTTCATACATCTGTTCAGTTTTCATATTTTAGGAAAGATTATCATGTTACTACCACTGTTGTAGGAATATGCATGAAATAGTGTTGACTTTGCTGTCTGTACACTTGTGTAACTCTCTGTCTTTTGTCTTAATCACATTGTATTGCCTTCTATTTTATGTTGCATTTCTTTTCACCCAAGTTAATACATGCCTACTCTTTAATCAGTGATTTCTAGAACTGACTTCAGGTTATGTTTTGATGGATACCTGCATGCCTATGAGAACTCATCTAAATGAATTGATCCAAGTAGGTAGAGGAAAAAAATATTTAAATCAGCAAATTATAGGTTCTTTTAAGACTAGTTTGTGGTGGAGTTATTAAGTGCCAGCGAGTTGATTCCAATTCTTAACAACCCCATGTACAACTGACTATTGTGTAGGATTTTGTTTTGTTTTGTTTTTTTTAAATTGAAGGAACATGTTCTGTTTCCTCAACTCCTAGAATTGGCATCAGAACTTTCAATACATTATGCCCAGAGAAAAGGTAAGTTTTAGCGTCACTAATTTCATGAATATGTCAACTCACTTTCTATGTATATATTAAATGTTCTTTATATATTTTTTCTTTTGTGTCATTTTAGTGTACATCACATCCCTGTTAGGTGGTGACGAAACAGCTGGCATCTGGTGTACTAACTTACATTCTGGGTTCTTTTCTCCACATTGAATATTTTTTTTTCTTAACTGAATTCCTTACTAGTCTAGAGGCAGAATTTAAAGCAAATATGTGACAGATATTACTACTTTTAAAAGCTCTCAAAAATAGCAAAAAAATAGAACAATCTTAACTGTTCGTTGTTGTTACTGTTGTTGTTGTTGTTGTTGTTAAGTACCATCAAGCCAGAACCTACTCATAGTCAACCCCTCAGCAGGTTTTCAGAGGCAGTTAATCACACAGGAGGAGATTGTCCAGCCTTCTTCTGCAGAGCAGCTGGTGGATTCAAACTGCATGGCTTCAGGATTG